GGTTGGACAGCCTGCCAAGCACAACCTGACAGATTTGTTCATTTGGTTATCTGAGGAATTCTTTTGCTCCTTGTGGATGGCAGAGTGTTTGTTTTCTGGCCTGTTCCAGCGCTAAATAGCTTTGATCCTATGACAGTTACCCAGCAGCTTTTCCAATGGGTGCTCATGAAGAGATAATTTTCCCAGTACCAGTGGCCAGGGAAGCAAGGCTTCCATACCAGGTGCCCAAACCACTGACAGATAAGCTGCTGTATCTGCAGCTGTCTGATACTTTGAGGACAGATGGACATTTTGGTCCAAACCAGTACAGCTATTCTCACATTTCATCCCCAACCCCCTTTCCCTGGGCCTTCAGGCACATATGTGTTTGTTCCTGATACCACCACCTTTCAGACCTTTTATCACTTCATCTTGATGGGTTATTGTGTTGCTTTTGCTACAACACACCAGGTAGACTGAAAGGGGAAGAAGGCCATCTTCTTTTTGTCCCACATCAATTCAAAAAGCTTTTGAAAATGAAAATTTTTGTGGATTTAGCCTCCATGTAGGAGCCTTCCATCGCATCTGGTGCAAAGTTGCCTGGCCTTTAACATCATTAATCTACATTAGGAATTCTGTAAGTTTGGATTTCATCCTTCACTGTTCATGCAGGTCTCTGAAAACCACAAAGATACTCCATGATAAGCATTATTAGTGCTCATTCATTGGATAAAGCCTGTTCCTTGTCATTTAAATTATGTGTTTGCAAAGTTGTAGTGAACTGGTTTTGGAGAAAAGGAGGAGAACAGACACCATTCCCAAGGTGCATAACTGTCACTGAGATTTATTGCCGTGGTAACCCCACAGTTTAATTTGGTGGTGTCCTGTTTTATTGAAAGCTTTTTGGTCTTCAGTCCAAAGGGACAAAGAGCAAGCATTCCTTCACAGCTCTTCTCAGGTTAGACGTGATGACTTTTGGGCTCAAATAATCAGTGTTGCCAGAAAAACTGCATATGCACAGAGAGCTGTACGAACAAACAAACTTTTGTGTCAGTAAATATTCCTGCATTTAATAGAAACAAATGTATTGAGGTTTGAGAATATGTTCTTTGATCTTTTGAGCCTGTCTTTAAATGATAACTCTTTTCCAATGAAAGTACAAAGATTAATTTATGTAAAGGGGAACAGAAAGATAGCCCAAACTTATCAAAAGTGTATGGTGCTTCATGCTGATTTCTGCATAACTGTACATGAGTTTGACACTGCAGCAAGGCCAAATAGAATTAATGGCAATCTTTGAGGGATTCCTTTCTAAAAATATATTTGCAAGCTTTTTATTTTTTTTTTTTTTTTTTGCACAGCTGTCACTTACCCCCAGCCTAGAAAAGCTTCTGTTATAATACTGGAACATGGGCACTGAAGATATCTTTCAGCTAACTACTGAACACTGCAAAATAGTCGACGATATATACTGTATATTTTAGGGGAAAGGGGATGTGTATCCTAAATTTATCTTTTTATCTTCCCCCAGCATAAACCAGTGGCATGATCACATCTTCAGGTTGTTTCAGCAGTTGCAAAGTTGGCAACAATCCGTATTCTGTGCAAATTACTGACAAGAACTATTTATTACTCTGTGGATTGTGGGGCTATTTCACCTTAAATGACAGATCTTCTTCTTCCTTGTGCCCTTTTGTAGGCAACCAAACTGAAAAAATCTTTACCAGGCTGTTATTTGTACCTTGCCATTTGGAAGCCAACAAAACACTTTTTTAGTTGTTTTTTTTTTTTTTTTTTAATCGAAGTCATTCTGGTAGCAAAAACAGAAGTAGAGGCAGAAGCAGTTGAAATAATACATATTGTTTGTTCTTCCAACTTACAACTGATCTCATATCTGTACTGTCTCCTTGCACAAGAGCAAATTATACTGTACATTTGGGATTTCATCTATTGTTTGTTCCAATTTACAGCTGATCTCATATCTGTACTGTCTCCTTGCACAAGAGCAAATTATACTGTACATTTGGGATTTCATCTAGTAGCAGCAGAAAAAACCTGTGTTGAGATAGAAATGGCTTGACTTCCATGCCAGAATTTTTCAGCTAATTAAATGATGAGTTTTGTACATCCAGCAGTTGCCAAATAGACAACACAAATATTCAGTTACAGAGCAGAGGGTACTTATCCAAGGTTTCCCTAAAGGCATGGAGATGTCACACCTGGGTTATTGGATATCTGTACTGTCTCCTTGCACAAGAGCAAATTATACTGTACATTTGGGATTTCATCATTTTCATTTCAGCAGCAGAAAAAACCTGTGTTGAGATAGAAATGGCTTGACTTCCATGCCAGAATTTTTCAGCTAATTAAATGATGAGTTTTGTACATCCAGCAGTTGCCAAATAGACAACACAAATATTCAGTTACAGAGCAGAGGGTACTTATCCAAGGTTTCCCTAAAGGCATGGAGATGTCACACCTGGGTTATTGGCTGTAGTGGTGAGCTCTTACTAAAGCTGCCTTGCTTTTGGAGATCTGGAAGTTGTCTGGTAAAATTCTGATTTTTTAAAAGTGTTTTGCACTGGGAATGGTGGCCTAGCAGACCTAGTGCCAATACTAGGAAAAAGTAGAAGCTAATAATCATTAAAATTTGATGACATGGTGATAAATAAACATATTGAGCACAACAGCATTTGTAAAGGGAAGTAGCATTCCACAAACCTAGAGGAGAATCAAAGATATGTGGATAGGTGGGAGAACCAGATGGTACTCTCTTAATGAATATCTGTACGCCATGTGAGAAGATATAGCTAAGTCTGTGTCTGTGATGTTATTTAAGATAATTTTCAGAGGTGATCCTGGACAAGGACAGGCTGATAATCCTGCTGCAGACATGTAAGTCTCCCTGGGGATAGTGTCAGAGTGTCCAAAGTGGCTTGATCTGAAGCAAATCCCAGGAGCAGCTTGGGGGAAGCTCAGTCCAGCAGCTCTATTTATGAATATATTCCATTAGGGCCCTCCTGGGATGCTCTTTGTCCTTGATGAACCTCACAGCCCTACTCAGTAAAGTCCCCTATACCCTTCTGTCCTTCTGCACAGAGCCTGCTAGCAGGTTATGAAACAGCCCTGGTAGGGATTACCAGGGCATCAGGAGGGCCTTGCGTGCTGCTAAGGACTCCTCTGCTTTTTGTAAAACATATTCTGTGTCTGGGACATCAACACTGTGCTTTGCTCGAGCTGTTTCAAAGCAGGCAGTAAATGCAGTGTGGAGGAGTGAACCTCAGTCACAGCAAGGCTGCTTCTCCCCGTTGCCTTCTGACTGCCCACACCAGCCTCACCTTTCACCTGCAGTCCTGCCAGCAGCCAGCTGCACAGCTGGGTCACTGGGCATGTATAAATATATATATATGTCTTTGTATGTGTATATACACACACACGTAGGCATTAGCTGCCTTCCCAGGCACATCTACAGGCTGGGTGAGGAGTGAACAAACAGCAGCCCTGAGGAGAAGGACTTGGGAGTATTGGTTGACAACAAGCCCAACATGGCTTTGTGTACTGCAGCCCAGAAACCCCCTCTGTGCTGGGCTGAGCCCCCAGTGGGGGCAGCTGGTCAAGGTGGGGATTCTGCCCCTCTGCCTGCTCAAGTCAGACCCCACCTGGGGCCCTGGGGAGCAGCACAGGGAGGAGCTGGAGCTGCTGGAGAGAGCCCAGAGGAGGCCATGGAGATGCTCCAGGGCTGGAACTAGGCTGGGAGAGCTCGGGATGCTCACCTGGAGAAGGGAATGCTCCAGGGAGAGCTGAGAGCCCCTTCCAGGGCCTAAAGGGGCTCCAGGAAAGCTGGAGAGGGACTGGGGACAAGGGATGGAGGGACAGGACAAAGGGCAGTGGCTTGCCACTGGAAGAGGATAGGTTTAGATGGGATATTAGGAAGCCCCTGTGAGGTTGGTGAGACCCTGGCACAGGTTGCCTAAAGAAGCTGTGGCTGTCCCATCCCTGGAAGTGTTCAAGGCCAGGTTGGATGAGTCTGGAGCAACCTGGTCCAGTGGAAGTTGTCCCTGATGGTACAACCCATTCCAGGAGATGAGAGTAAGCCAGGCTCTCGTTAACAGATCAATTTGGGGTGCATTAGCATGAAACAACACTGAACGATCAATGTGTTTTTTAAGAGATGACCAAGGATGTCTCTAATATTTGCTGGTATCCACAAAAAATGAGAATCCACATTTTGAGTGAGGCCACGTTGGGCAAAGTTATCAGGATTACACTGGAAACTTCATAGGAGGTAAGTGCCTGCCTGACCAGTTTAGAAAATTCAAGGTAGTTTTGGAAACAGAGTGTAGACAATGATGAGCTGACTATATGAGTTTGCTGGCTATGCTGCCTGGGGAATGTTGGTGTGCACATCACTTTCACGAACAAAAGTTGAAAGGAGATCTCAGTTTAGATTTGAATGTCCTCTAAATTATGTTCCAAAGTGGCTTGTAGGATTGGAGAAATTTAACTTGAAGTAAGATCTTGCAAAGAGGACACAAGAATTAAAAGAATAATCAAAGATTAAGTGGAAGTAGGAAGGAAGGTATAATAAGTTCTTATTGTTTGGACAGAATATTGAGATATCTATTTTATTCCTAAAGCAACATTTATAAGGGATAATTGCATTCTGTTTCAGAGAAAAAGTTATTTTATCAGCTAAGGCAGTATTAGATGAAATTTCCTGGTGAGAACAAAGCAGGATGTCTGATTAGACCACTTTAAAAGTGTCTGAAACACTTTGAAATAACTGAAGCAAGATTTTTAATTGAATAAATAAGTGTAAAAGGAGCAAGGAAAAATGTAAACCTTAGAAGAATTCAAGGTAATGATTGAAATGCAACACTCAACTTCTCATTATTTACATGGCATAAGCTCCACAATTTTTATTATGTAGGCATTACTCATCTACAGATTAATGAAGGACAAAGCAGTGACTACAAATAAAAGTGATAGAATGCCACATTTTGTGCAATTCTCTCACTTGACAGCACTGGAGGCATTTACTCTTCACTTTCTGCCTTCTTGCTGATTTCCCGGCTCTTGGCTCGGAGCTTGTTGACCTGAGACTCTGCAATGTCAGCCCGCTCCTCGGCTTCCTCCAGCTCGTGCTGGATCTTGCGGAACTTGGAGAGGTTGACATTGGACAGCTCCTCCTGGAGACAGGAGGAAGCATAAAACAGGTTTTAAAACAATTCCACTGTAAAACTGCTAGGTGAAAATATGAAAAAAGGAAAGTGAAACGAAGCAGGGACCTACTACCACAATGTTGACTTGTGCTCAAAGAGAGCTACACAGAGAAAAATATCAACACAGAATCCCACTTCCACCTGGATAAAGACTGACTGAGCACAGTGATACTCACAGCCTCCTCAGCTTGTCTCTTGTAAGCTTTCACCTTAGTTTGCAGTTTATCCACTAGATCCTGCAGCCTGAGAACATTTTTCCTGTCTTCCTCAGACTAAAGAGAATGACAAGACAGAGAAGCATATCTTTTATCCTCCTCTACATGAAATAGAGAGTAACATTTCTATTTGACATTCCTGCCCAGTAAGAGAGAAGTGATAAGCTATATATTGTTAAAATTACTAGAAGATAGTAATCTTCTGCTGCTTTCATTATTCTCCTTTTTGTACGTGTGACTCAGGACAAAGAGAAATTCCTCAGGGCTATAAATTGGGTTCCAGGAATATGAGTGTATCAACACGAAGAAGATTCCTGCCTTACCTGGTAGGTGAGTTCCTTCACCCTCCGCTCGTACTTGCGCACACCCTTCACGGCTTCAGCGCTGCGCTTCTGCTCAGCATCAACCTCCCCTTCCAGCTCCCGCACCTGCAAGGACAAGCCCATCCCTGCAGCTTCCCTGACAATGACTCTCCAAGCAGAGACACGCTCACTCAGGCACAGCCCCAGCCCTACACACCCTGGCCTCCAGCTTCTGGATCTGCTTCTTCCCTCCCTTCAGTGCCAGCTGCTCAGCCTCATCCAGACGGTGCTGCAGGTCCTTCACTGTCTGGTCCAGGTTCTTCTTCATCCTCTCCAGGTGGGCACTGGTGTCCTGCTCCTTCTTCAGCTCCTCTGCCATCATGGCCGCCTGATCAGAGCAAAGAGTCAAAGCCATTTTGGGACTGGAGATGTTTTGGGGGGACTACATTCATCCTCAACAATGCCAGGCATGTCCAACTCACATCTGTGATGGCCTTCTTGGCCTTCTCCTCAGCATTGCGGGCTTCCTGGATGGTATCCTCCATTTCACCCTGGATCTGGGCAATGTCCGTTTCCAGCTTCTTCTTGGTATTGATCAAGCTGGTGTTCTGTTGAGCAGCATCAGAGGTTTGTTTTGTAAGTTCATTATTTGAAATCAAGAACATTACAGAATTTTCAATAATTTAAGACATAATTATGTGAAAAAGCAATACCAGAGACTTTTCTAGTAAAATTTCTTTTCACTGGGGAAAAAAAACATTTTGTTTTTTCTTTCTCCATTTTTCATTAATTCGAAAAAGCGCTCAAGAAATATAATTTGTGCCACATCTCATCCACCAAGGCTGTCACAGGAAATTAACAAAAATAGAGTAAGGGAAAAGTCACTAGTGCACATATTTTTTTCAGAAAAATCTCTTTTAGTAACATGATGAATATTGCAGAAAAGAGTACTGTCTTCTCCTAGGTTGAGCATTCAATGGTGACTGGAAAAAAGCATAAAAGTGTTCACCAAATGACCTCACCTGGCTGTGGAGGAGTTGCACACGCTCACTGGCATCCATTAATTCCTGCTCAGCCACTTTCCTCGACCGCTCCGTCTGCTCCAGGGCTGCCCGGAGCTCCTCAACTTCAGCCTGCAGCAGGTTTGCTCTGCGCTCCACCATGGCCACCTGCTCCTTCAGGTCCTCCTGAGACCTGAGAGCATCATCCAAGTGTATCTGGGTATCCTGTAGAGCCATTGAAATAAATTATAAGCAGATTTAGAGCTCCTGTGGACTGAAAGTATTAACCAAGGCAATTTTTGTTCAACAGACCTTGAGCACTCCCTGTGTATTTCTCAGATTCTTCTGTGCCTCTGCAGCCTGGCGGTTGGCATGGCTCAGCTGAATTTCTACTTCATTCAGGTCTCCCACCATCTTCTTCTTCAGCCTCAGGGCTTCATTTCTGCTCCTGATCTCAGCATCCAGGGTGCTCTGCATGGACTCCACCACTCGCAGGTGGTTTCTCTTCATTTGTTCAATCTCCTCATCTTTTTCTGCTATCTTCCTGTCAATCTCAGCCTTCACTTGGTTGAGCTCAAGCTGCAGGCGCAGGATCTTCCCCTCCTCATGTTCCAGGGAGGCCTGGACAAGCAAAAATAAGAATACTTTTCCTGTGATAAGTGTTGAACCTGAAGTTCTGAGTAAAAAGAGTGATATATTTAGATAATATCTCTACTTCTATAAGACCTCTTCTCTGCTTTTTTCTTGGAATGAGATAAGCAAGATAGAGATCCAAGACACATAAGACAGCACGAAATAATGCTGTGTACCTCAGCTTCCTCCAGAGCAGCCTGGATTTCAGATTTCTCCTGCTCAATCTGCTTCTTCACTTTCTCCAGCTCATGAATTGCCTTTCCTCCCTCCGCAATCTGCTCTGTGAGGTCGGAAATCTCCTCTGTGGAACAAAGATCAATGGCATGGTCAGGCACAGAGCAGAATGGGAAGGGTCCTGTCCCACCAAGGTGACAGGCATCTCTGCAGACCTGCAGGCACACACCCATGAGCAATGGTGGTAATGGCTGACAGTGAGAAAGGCCAGGGAGGAGCAGAGGGCCAGGGCCTTACGCTGCAGGTTCTTGTTCTCCCGCTTCATTGTTTCCAGGTGGTCCAAGGACTCCTCATAGGCATTCTTCATCTTGAACAGCTCCGTGCTGAGAGAGCGCGACTCCTTCTGCGAGGCCTCCAGCTCAGCCTGCGTTTCCTCATACTTCTGCTTCCATTCTGCCAGGATCTGAAGAGAAACGGGGTGTGAGTAGGGCTGTGGCCATCATGGGGCCATGCTCTGGCCAGGAGTGCTGGTGCTGGTGCCAAAAGACCTTGTCAAAGTTCTTCTGCTTCTTATCCAGAGCAGCACAGGCAGCATTGGATCTCTCCACATCAATCATCAGGTCCTCCACTTCATTCTGCAGCCTCTGCTTTGTCTTTTCCAGGGAGGCACATTTGGCATTGACAGCCTCAACATGTTCCTCTGCATCCTGCAGGCGCTGGGCCAGTTTCTTCCTGGGAGGAGACAAGCACAGTTGCATGTTAAAGCTTGGAAGGGTGTCAGTTCTATTCTGTCATGAGACAGAATTGATCACTTTAAGGGTTGACAGTTGATCACTTTAAGCATTTTGAACTGAGTACTTTGCACAGATATGTAGGGATCTAGCCTTTGCTGTGTCCTATCACCTATTAGGCCTGGCTTAGTGCTTCTAGTCCTAAAACCTATATTTTCCCTTCCTTTCTACACTTTTTCTCTGTCTTGCTCTCTTCCCTTTTTTTACAAATCTACATCCTTGCCTTTATCCCATTCTTGTCTTATCCTACTCTCAGAGATTCCAATTTCTTTTGACCAGCCTCCATTTTCTCCAGTCATTTCCCGTCCTTCTTCCGCACGTACTTGGCCTCCTCGAGCTCCTCCGTGCGCTGAATCGCGTCCGTCTCGTATTTGGTTCTCCACTGAGCCACTTCGCTGTTGGCCTTGGACAGGGCTCGCTGCAGCTCCCCCTTGGCCTCCTGCTCCTCCTCATATTGTTCCCGGAGCAAGTCACAGTCGTGGCGAGCGGACTGCAGGGCGTGGGCCAGGGCGTTCTTGGCCTGTGGGAAGAATAGCAGTGTGACAATGAGTGGAAATATCCTGGGAGATCTCCTGAACAGAATGCTGATGGGCACTGAGTCTGCTGTGAGTAATGGCAAGCTCCTGAATAAAAATGCAAAGTCCAGGAATCTGCAAAACAACATACAGACTACAGGGAAGGAGGAAGAAATCTAGTATGACAAGGCTTACACTGTATTACTTAAGTGGTTTTTTTCCTCCCTTTAGTCTTATTGATTATGTAATTTCATTCATATCTAAATCTCCTCCTAGACAGAAGGAAGACCTGCTTACCTTTATCTCTTCCTCTAGATGCCTTTTGAGTTCCTCAATCTGTTGGGTGAAAGCCTGTTTGCCTCTTGACAGCTGAGAAATCAGAGCATCTTTCTCATCTACCTGGCGTGAAAATTCACCTGGGAGTGTTCAGATGAGTAAAAAAAAAGTTATCACTTATGCAAAAGTGTTAGTCTTGATAATAAATGCCCATATACAAATATTTTGAGTTAAACAAACTTTTGCTTCCTTCCTGGATTTCTAATCACTTATGCCTGCATTTTTACAGGCTAGAAATGACATGTCATGTAAAATCCCACCAGCCTTACTCTACATTTGCATTAAGCCTTAGGTTTACAGAATTAGTACTACAATGCAATCCAGAGGGATTATGGCCCATGGGAATCTCAAGAGGTTTAACAAGGCCAAGCAATCCAGGCAAGGTCTTTTGTGATGAGCAGGGGGAATGATCACTCTCCGCTAACCCGTTAGCAATGCTTCTCCTAATGCAACTTGAGATTCTCTCAGGATTCTGTTGGCCAGCTTCATCACGAAACACATTTTTGGCTCAGGTTCAACTTAGTTCATGTCCAATCCTCCAATACTCCAGGTGAGTTTTACTTTTTCCTTTTAAAGAACCCGGGTAATATACAGTATTCTCTTAAAAACACAAATGACTTACCGGATTCTGTTTGTAGCCGAGCTCTTTGAGCACTAATGTCATTAATTATACGCTGCTGTTCCTCCTCCTTTGTCTTAATCTCACTGAGTTGATCTTCTAGGGAACGACACATCTTTTCCAGATTTGCCTGTTTGCACGAGAAGCGGAAGGAAAGACGTTTAATGGTTCAACTCATAATTTGTGAGCATATGAAGTCTTATAAAGGAAGATAGAATGATTCAGAAGCCAAAATTTCTCAGTTAACTGATATATATCTCTATGAAATTTGTGTTTCCATTCACATGTGTATATTCCCTGCCCATTGTAGGGTGGAAGAAATTATATGATCAAATGATTTAAATAATAGTGAAATGTTTAAACACACATTGAAGTTGCAAAGTGAAGTAGTTTATTCTAAAATACGACTAACAAATTTCTATGTTAAAATATAAATATCTGATTATGTTTGAAGTAATGAAAAGAAATATTTATGTACCTTAGCTTTGGAGACAGACTCCATATTGCTGGCCAAGTCATCAATCTCCATCTTCAGCTCACTTTTCTCCTTCTCCAGCTTCTGCTTCACGCGTTGCAGGTTGTCGATCTGCTCGCCCAGCTCAGCTGTGCTGTCCGCGTGCTTCTTGCGCAGGGCGGCAGCCGTGGCTTCGTGCTGCAGCGTGGCTTCTTCCAGGTCACGGCGCATCTTCTGGAACTCTGCCTCACGCTTCTTGTTCATAGTAGCACAGACAGAAAATGCTTCTTAAAACTTTATAACAAGACAAATCTTTTCCAGAGTGCGAGTGATAGGTTCTACCTCATACCTTGTTTTCAGTGGCATGTTTTTCCTTCTCCACCTTGGCCAGTGTTAGCTCAAGGTCATCAATATCTTTCTTCAGCTCTGAACATTCATCTTCCAGCTTCCTCTTCTTGGCTGTCAGCTCAGCATTCATCTCTTCTTCTTCCTCTGCTCTCTCTGTCAGCTCCTTAATTTTGGCTTCCAGCTGGATTTTGGTTTTGATGAGCTGGTCACACCTTTCCTCAGCATCAGCCAAACCATCAGCTTCCTACGTGATTAATTTAAATGAAAGAGTTTTCAACCTGGGGCTACTGGCTCTGATGTACTTTTCGGCTGTAGACATCTAAATGCCATAAGACTAATCCAAATACTTGCTTGTAAATGCAGTTTTAAGGACATTATTTTTGGTACGTTCTTATTTCCAGGGAAGAAGGGAAGCAGTGAAATTTCATTACCATTTTTCTTGAAGAGACAAGGACCATAAATGCCAGACAACTACCTGACACTCTCAGCTCTTCCTACTCCATCTGAATTCACTTGGGATTCTCCAAACAAAATATGTTAATTGGACCTCCAGACAATCTTGATTGGTCAGTTGTTAACATATCAAAATTGTAAAGTATACAAAGTTCTATAAATATTAAGATAGCAATTGTATGTGGTTTTTCTTCTCATTTTATAAAATATGTGTATGTTTATAAAATAATTTTCATTTTGGGATAATACGTCTTTACTGAGACATTTAGGATGATTAAATAGAGGACATCACAAGTTAAAAAATTTTAGCAATACTCACAGCTTGCACTTGGAGCTGCAGGTCATTTTTCTCCTGCACTAAGGCCACCATTTTCTCCTCAAGCTCCTTCCGTTTTGCCTCAGACTTTGCAAGCTCTTCCTTGGTTTTCTCAAACTCTTCCTTCATGTTGGCCATCTCCTTCTCAGACTCTGCGCTCTTCAGCAAGGGCTTGATCTTGAAGAATAGCTTCATCCATGGCCAGTGCTTGACATTCATGAATGAACGGACATTGTACTGGATGCAGAAGATAGACTCCCTGAAAGGTAATAACAAAATGTATTTTGGTACATATTTTAAAATCTATAGAACATATTTGGCAGTATATGTTAATATACATAACATGAAGTTCAACACATAATACTTCTTAGTTGTATATATATATATGTTTGTATATAGTATCCATATTTGGTATATTTGTACACCTACATAGTTCTGTATATGTCTATGTGTAAAATATTTATCATTTATTATTCAATATATGTTTCTTAATAATATTTCGATCACATTTTGTATATAATATATTTATATTTCCACTGAAAACCTTCTAGTGTTATATAGAGTATCAACCCATATAGACAGATTTTTAGTTCAGGTGTTTGGCTCATTTTTATGACCAATTAAAAGGAACACTTCTATAAGTAGACTCAGTCACTTTTATGAATTTTATCAAAGGGAAGAAAATGTTTCTCCTATGATAGATATATGTCTTTTTCTCATTTTATTTAGCAGTCACCTAAAATAATTAGCTTAGACTAGATATCAGTTTTCTCGACATACATATAATATAACCATTTAATGACTTCAGCAGCAAAGCATTAAAAAAATTGTTTCCCTAAACTGGGATTTTACACTACTTCATCTGTTTTCAGGATATACTTTCATATTGACAAACTGAATTAAAGAGAAATAAATGAGATTTTTTTTTGGAAGCAGCTTATTTTCAGTTTTGTTCATGCCGTTACTATCTGATAAGGATTGGTCCAGCAAGCCAAGTAAATATCTACCTCCTCTCCATCATTTTCTTGAACTCCACCCTCATCAGGTAACCTCTACACATGGCCTGGGTGCGGGTGATGAGCTGTGCCAGCTTCTCATCCCTCATCTCCTCCAGGAGGCCCAGCAGCCCAGCTTTGAAGAACACCTTGAGAGAGGCAATGTTGCAGCACATCACTGTCAGGTAGAGAGAGCAAAGCCCAGGCAGGCAGTGAATGGGGGGGTTGGTACCTTGGTGTGTCCAAATTTGTACTGGGTGTGGTCCACATCGATTGACCCAAGGAGCTTCTCAGAAGCCTTCTTGCTATCGATGAACTGTCCCTCAGGGATGGCACTGGCATTAAGCACCTTGTATCTGGAATCAGAGGAACAAAAGGAATAAATAACAGCCCTTTGAAAATGTCTTTTTTTTTTTTCTCTTTCTCTCAATAGCTATAGAAAGAACCTGGATGACTCACTTGGACAAATTACTTTTGTATACCTAAAGGTAACTTCTGCAGTACTTAAAACAATTAGGAAATGCAAATGATTCAACATTTGTCTATATGGTGGATGGTGATGAAATGAAATCTGACCTCTGTTTGAAGTCAGCATAGAGGATTCTGCTGGGGAACCCTTTCCTGCAGATCCTGATCCCTTCCAGCACGCCGTTACAGCGCAGCTGGTGCAGCACCAGCTCGTGCTCCATGGCACCTAATAAATCACAGAACGAAATTGTATATCACTTTACTGCACAGAGAAGATCAGCTATATCACACCCCTGAACTTTAACAACTTACCAGGTGTTTTTGTTTCATTAGGAATAAGGCACCGCACAAAATGGGGATGTGTGCTTCTCAAATTGCTCATCAGCTTGTTTAAATTTTCCTGACGAGCAAGAACAAAGCCTTGGGTTTAAAAGTGTTATTTACACAATCTCAATGCTAGGTGGAGATAAAAACACTGCAATAAAACCATGATCAATAATTTTTTGACAGAACTTTCAGGCAGTTCTGAAAGAATACTTCCCGAGTTTCAGTAAGAATTCTTCTTTACTAGAAGCAAATTATTTTATCCGTTATGAACACAAAGGTATAATAGAGCAATCTAACATATTTCTGAACTGAATTTTCTGTTTTTCTTTTCAAAATGTGGTAATTTTAGAATAGTTATTCTACAGTACCCGGAAGAGAGCCGAGACGGTCTGGAAAGAAGAACCCTTCTTCTTGGCGCCCTTCTTGCCACCACCACCACCACTGCTCTCTAAAAAGTAATAAATTTTTTGTAAAGAAGTGAACAACAAAAGCACACAGAATCTGAAAAACTTTATATGTTCATCTTAAAAACTCCTGCAAAAATAATAATATGATCAAATTTTGCAAAGTCTGATTGTGGTTAAAGTTACAAAAAAAGACTTGAATTTTTCAGATGACAGTAGAAGGAAATCTAGTGACTTCAAGCTGAAATTTAGAAAATGCAGTAGGGAAAAAACCCATAACATTTTGCATAGAAAGATATTTGAGGAACTAAACTAATAGCTAGTAATTACACTAAATGCAGTGTTTATGTATCCTTACATCTAAGGGTATGCATAAATTTAAAATCATGTTGATACATTTGATTGTACTCACTGAAGTATTTGAGAATGGCCCATATTGCAGACAGCTAGAGTGGGTTAATGCTCTAGTACAGCTGTCTCATTCTAAAACCTACAGCTCTATTAAGGTCTCTAGGGAGTAGTAATATCCTTTATTAGACTGAGATCCAAAGAGTAGATGAGGTTTTGGATCTTCAATTTTAGAAATGTAAATATCATTGCAAAATGCTACTATGGTATTTTAATTTCTTTTTCTGTGAATTATAGTAGAATTGATTTCAAAGAAATCACCTGCTTCTGCCCCACCAGCAGATGCAAAGAGCAAGGCCAGGGTCTTCAAGGATGACTTTTGATACAACCCCACAACAGTTTCATTCAGAGGGTCCTTGTTCTTCTCCAGCCACCCAGTGATGTTGTAGTCCACTGTGCCAGCATAGTGCACCAGGGAGAAGTGGGCCTCAGCCTTGCCTTTGCCAGGCTTGGGTTTCTGGAAGTTGTTGGACTTGCCCAGGTGCTGGTCATAGAGCTTGTTCTTGAAAGAGGTGTCAGTTGCCTTGGGGAACATGCACTCCTCTTCCAGGATGGAGAAGATGCCCATGGGCTGGGAAAAATAGCAACACGTGAAGAAAGTGTGGAAGGAAGAAACAGACACAATGTATGTAAGAAAGAGGAATAGAAGATAAAAGTTATACAAAAACATCCTCCTCAGTATGTGTAATCTTATGTTTCTCAGAAAGGGCATTTTGTTAGTGGATATGCCATCAGTTATACAAAAACAAGCTCCCCTATAAGATTCAGAGTTGGGATGTAATAAAGATCTAGCATGTAGAAATGAATTTTGTACATGTTTGGTGAAAGTGGTAAGCAAAATGAATGAAAGTAGTAGCACTCAGACATAAGGAAGAGTTTAAACTATCTATATGCTCTTTCTTTAAAATGAGACAGAAAATTTCTCAAGAAACCTTAAAGTAGAGATTTTATAACTGAAAAACTGTGAAGTATGTGGGGGCTAATAACCTTCTCAATGAGCTCAATGCAGGCAGCCAGGTCCATGCCAAAGTCAATGAAATCCCATTCAATCACTTCCTTCTTGTACCCCTCCTGGTCAAGCACGAACATGTGGTGGTTGAAGAACTGTTGCAGTTTCTCATTGGTGAAGTTGATGCACAGCTGCTCCAGGCTGTTGAACTGCAGAAGACAAAGATTTACTCAGTCCCAGGAACACCTTCCATCTTCCAATAGGCTTTATTCTTATCCCACTAAGATCTCTATGACCGGAATCTTGAATTTCTAATGCTGGAACTGGATAGGTGACTGGCATATTCCATCCTCTAATATATCTAACCTCTTAGGCCCTGGCACTTTCTCAACATATATGTGAGCTTTGAATAGATCTGCAGAGCTCAGTCCAAGTCCAGCTTTTAGTTTGAATTTGTGTACATTACCTCTCTATTCCCAAGCATTCAGAGGAAATCTGGCTTCATCATTAACAAAATCTTACTTTAAAAAGGCATATTTAACCTTCCTTGAAGCCTCTCTCTGCTGTTATTTATCAGTTTTTCAGCAGTTTTCAATGCTATTTCCACTTTTGTATGCAACAAGCATCTACAAATAAATACAGCCCTGTGGGGTACTACATGCAATGAGAACCAGAAGGGTACCGTTCCTAGAGAAAAAGCAGGATTATCCAATAAATAGAAATAACCCATAACTAAAATAAAGCACACCCCAACCCCCAAATTATTCCAACTTCCTAATGCCTCTTCCAGAAAAGCTTTATGGAGATCATCCTCTTACATCAAAGATCTCAAAGCCAGCAATGTCCAGCACACC